TAAATCATTGAATAAATCACCCAGACAGAAAATCAATAAGGAAAAATTGGCCTTAAACAACACGATACCAGATAAACTTAATATGTACAGCATGTTCCAACCAAAAGCAACAGAATAAACATTCGTCTCAAGTACATGTGGAATAATTTCCAAGACAGATCATATGTTAGGCCACAAAACAAGTCTCAATAAATTTAAGACTGAACTTATATCAAGCATGTTTTCCAACCACAATGTTGTGAAACTAGAAATCAATTACAATAGGAAAAATGAGAAGTCACAAATATGTGGAGGTTAAACAACATACTCCTGAACAACAAATGAGTCAATAAAGAAATCAAAAGGAGAAATTAAAAAATACCTTGAGATGAATGAAAATGGAAATACAACATACCAAACTCTATGGAAAGCAGTAAAAATAGTTCTGAGAGGGAAGTTCATAGCAATACAAGCCTATATCAAGAAACAAACATCTCAAATAAACAATCTAACTTTCCACTAAAGAAACTATAAAAACAACAAATGAAATCAAAAGTTAGTAAAAGATAGGAAATAACAAAGATCAGAGTGAAACTAAGTGGAATAGAGACTATCCAGGAGACTGAATCAGTAAATCAAAAACCTCCCAACCTCCCAACATACAGAAGTCCAGAACCAGACAATTCCCTGATGAAGTCTACTGAACATTCAAAGAAAATGTAGTATCTATCCTTCTCAAACTCTTCCAAAAACAGAAGAGGAGGGAATGCTTCCAAACTCATGTTATAAGACTAGCATTACCCTAGGACCCAAACCAGACAAGGACACCCCCCACCAAAACACACACACACACACACACACACACACAACAACAACAACAACAACAACAACAAAAACACAAGCCAATATACCTGATGAACACAGATGTAAAAAATTCCTAACAAAATATTAGCAAACCAAACTCCACAATACATTAAAGAAGATTCAACAATACACGATAATCCAGTGGGATTCATTCAGGGATACAAGGATGGTTCAACATCTGCAAATCTATTAATACATTAACTATACATACTACACTAAGTGATATACTACATTAACAAAATAAAGGATAAAAATCACATGATCATATCAACAAATGCAGAAAAAGCACTGACAAAACCGAACATCCATTTATGACAAAAACTCTCATCACAGTGGGTATAGACGGTACATACCTCAACATAATAAAAGCCATCTAATAAGCCCACAGCTAACATCATATTCAACAAGATAAGTCTTTCCTCTAAGATCAGAAACGAGCCAAGGATGCCCACTCTCACCACTACTGTTCAATATAGAATCAGAAGTCCTAGCCAAAACAATTAGGCAAGAAAAAGAAATAAAAGGCACCAAAATCAAAAAGAAGTAAATCTATCACTGTTTGTGAACAACATGGTTTCATATATAGAAAACCCTAAAGACTCCACCAAAAAGTAGAATGTAAATTGATATAGCCATTATGTCAAACAGCATAGGGGTTCCTGAAGAATTAAAAATAGAACTATTATATTACCCAGCAAATTCCACTCTTGAGTTATACAAAGAAAACATGGGACGCCTGGGTGGCTCAGTTGGTTGAACCTCTGACTATGACTCAGGTCATGATCTCATGGTTCATGAGTTCAAGCCCCGTGTTGGACTCTGTGCTGACAGCTCGAGGCTGAAGCCTGCTTTGGATTCTGTGTCTCCCTCTCTCTTGCCCCTCCCATGCTCACACACTGTCTCTCTCTCTTTCTCTAATCTCAAAAATAAATATTAAAAAAATTAAAAAAACAAAACAAAAAAACAAAAACACTACTTATAAAACATATATGTACCCCTTTGTTCCCTGCAGCATTATCTACAACAGCCAAGATATGGAAGCAACCTAAGTATTCATCTACAGATAAATGGACAAAGAAGATGCAATGTACATTACATAATATACATTATATATCATACACACCCATGTCTCACACACACACACACACACACACACACACACACACACACAGTGAAATACTATTCAGCCTTAAAAAATGAATGAAATCTTCCCATTTGCAGCAATATGTATGAACCTTGAGGATATTATGCTAAGTGAAATAAGACAGAGCAAGTCAAAGACCATATGATTTAACCTATATGTAGAATTTTTAAAAAAAACAAACAAAACACGGGCGTCTGAGTGGCTCAGTCAGTTAAGCATTTGACTTCAGCTCAGGTCATGATCTCATGGTTTGTGAGTTGGAGCCCCATGTCTGGCTCTCTGCTCTCAGTGTAGAGCCCGCTTCAGATCCTCTGTCTCCCTCTCTCTCTGCCTCTCCCCCACTCATGCTGCCTTTCTCAAAAATAAAAAAATAAACATTAAAAAAAAAGTATAGATAGAGGTGATAGAATGGTGGTTGCCAGCAGGAAGGGCGAATGGGGGAGATGGATGAAATGGATGAAGAGGCGAAAAGGTACAAACTTCCAGGTATAAAATAAGTAAGTCATGGGGACGTAATATACAGCATGGTGACTCTAGTCAATAATGTCATAGTGTATTTCTGAAAGTTGCCAAAAGAGTAAATCTTAAAGGGTCTCATCACTAGGGGAAAAAAAAAAAAAAAAACTTGTGTAACTTTGTATGGTGATGGATAGTAACTAGGCTTCTTGTCATCATTTCATAGCATATACAAATATCAAATCATCACTGTACACCTGAAACTAATATAATGTAATATGTCAATTATACTTCAATTAAAAAAAAAAACAAAAACCAAATGTTAGAGAGGATGTGGGGAAATTTGAACACCTGATACAAAATAGTCCAGCCACTATAGAAAACAATATGGCAGGTTCCCCCCAAAATTTAATATTGAGTTACCAGGGGTGCCTGGGTGGTTCAGTCGGTTAAATGTCCAAGTCTTTTTTTTTCTTTTTTAATGTTTATTTATTTTTGAGAGAGACAGAGACAGAGTGCCAGCTGGGGAGGGGCAGAGAGAGAGGGAGACACAGAATCCAAAGCAGGCTCCAGGCTCTAAGATGTCAGCACAGGGCCTGACACAGGACTCGAACTCATGAACTGTGAGATCATGACCTGAGCTGGCTGGCCACTTAACTGACTGAACCACGCAGGTGCCCCAATTGAGCATCCAACCTCTTGATTTTGCCTTAGGTTTTGATCTCACGATTCATGAGATCAAGTCCCGCCATCAGGCTCTAGGCTGACAGTTGTAGAGCCTACTTGGGATTCTCTCTCCCCCTCCTCTCTCTCTCTCTTTCTCTGCCTCAAAATAAATAAATAAAACATTAAAAATTAAAATAGAACAGAACTGCCATATGAGCAGCAATCTTACGTCTGGGTGTATATTCAAAAGAACTGAAAGCAGGATCTCAAAGAATTATCTGCAAATGCATGTTCACAATAGCAGCATTTTCCACAATAGCCATGTAAGTGAAAGCAACCCAAATGACCACAGAAAAATGAAGGGATAAATGAAATTTGGTATATACCGACAATGGAATATTTTCAGCCTTAAAAAAGAAGGAAATGCTGTCACGTGCTACAACATGGGTGAACCTCGAAGATATTATACAAAGTGACATAAGCCAGTCACAAAAAGACAAATCCTGTATGGTTCCACTTAGATGAGTTATTTAAAGTAGTCAAACGCATAAAATCAAACGGTGGTTGTTAGCGCGCGGCAGGGCAGAGATGGGCGCTGTTTAGTAAGTACAGTGTCAGTTGTGCAACATGACAAAGTTGTGACGATCTGCTGCAAAACAACGTAAATATACTTAACACTACTGAACGGTACACTTAAAAATGGTTACAATGGTAAATTTTATGTTGTGTTTTCTATGACAATTTTTAAGGCAATAAGGCATAGACAGTAAGTGACATACATGAGGTTATGAAGTCAGAATTCATAGTCATGAAGTACAGATCAGATTCAGAAAAGCAAAAGAGAAGAAAGGTCAGGTAGAAGATCCAACCTATTCAAAGGTGTTTGGAGAATAGAAAATACTCAGGTGAAAAGGCAAAGAAGGGTAGAGTGGCCCAGATGAAACTAGAAAGGTAGATTGAGGATCATTTGGTAAGGTGGTCAGAACTCAAGGACAAGTCTCTGGTAACAGAATAAAGCTCTGGCTGGACTGACCAGAGGTGACAGGATGTCATCAGGAACAACTGTTACAAGACTGCTCAATGCTAACCACAGAAGTCTGGCTTAAGGCAAATAAAATGCAGATAGAGTATTTCTAGACACAGTCTAGGCACACGTGAGGTGGGTCAAAGGGAGCCCATGGGCGACCTAATCAGTTGAGGTTCCCATAAATGAAGACATATCCTAGAAAACCTTTGACCTAGAAAACCTAGAAAATGAAGATATAACCTAGAAAAGCCAATATGGACTTACATTACCTTTGAATTGTATCAAGGAAAAATTTTTTCACTCCAAATGTTTTAGGAAGAGAAATTAGAAATTATCTCTTGGGGCTCCTGGGTGGTTCAATCAGTTGAGTGTCTGACTTTGGCCCAGGTCATGATCTCCCAGTTTGTGAGTTCAAGCCCCATGTCAGGCTCTGTGCTGACTGCTCAGATCCTGGAGCCTGCTTCTGATTCTGTGTCTCCCTCTCTCTTTGCCCCTGTCCTGCTTATTCTCTGTCTCTCTCTCTCAAAAATAAAAATAAACATTAAAAAAAAATTTTAAAGAAAATTATCTCTTACATCCTTCCTCCAAAGTTCAGTTTTTTGCTCACAGAAAGCATATATAAGTAATTATCTAGGCAACCAATAATCATCATTTATTGCTGAATATTTACATGAGGCTATGAGAAACACTTAACTGTTAATACAAGATAAATCTTAAATATGATAAAAAAGCAGATTCATAAATTCATAGTAATTATGAAAGACAAAGGAGAAATTTCTGTATTTCCCATCTGAAAAGTAAGGTTAATACTGTGACATACTTCAACTTTAATCAAAAAATAGAATTTCAAAACTTATATTTCAAACAAACACATAACCATTACTAAATGTGTAATATTGACAGAGACTTTTCATACTATACTGATGTTAGTTGTAAATAATAATTTTGAAAAAACTCTTGATACTTTTAGAAGATATTTCAACTAGCTTAGACCTGAAGGCTTTGTCTACAAATATTTACATTCAGTTTTACTTAAATTATCAGTTTTGAATTCCCAAACCATCACCTACAGCTTTGCCTTCAAAGCTACTAGAGGTTAAAAGAGTTTTTTAAACGCCCTTGTGAGGTCACAGAGGCTGCCAAGAGGCCAGTAAGAGAAAGCAGACCTCACTGCCTGAATGTCAATTATCCAGCCCCTGGGCACTCGCTCACAGAGTGCCACAGCTTAAAATCATTATAAAGATAGCATTAAGACAATTAAACAAATTACTTGGAATCAAGAGTACTTAAAATCTATCCCTAACGTGAATAAAAGGTACCAGAGGACAACCTCAGAAATTGAGGGAAATTACAGAAAAGTGTTACAACATGAGTAAGTACTCACTGGTTTTCTCCTTGCAATTTAAAGTTTCTCAAGCATTCCAGAATCAAACCTTTGGGTATTTCAGTAATGCATACCAACTAGAGAAGGTCTTAAAGTATTTCAGTAATTCACAACACTCAAAATAGCGTGTGTATACAGTAAACCAAGTTGTTTGAAAAGGTTTTGACTATTCAGTGTACTTACTAAAGCAATCAATCTTTTTTTATATGTGTTTACCTTGTACTATTTTCTTAAAACAGTGGAGTGTTAAAGATCCTATTCTCCAGCATGCAATTATAAGTGAGTAATATAATAAATTATTAAATCCTGAAGTCCAGAAAATCCTAAAAAGAAGACTCTGAGGTAAAACTTTTTTTTTCAGAAAAAAACAAATCCACAGAGCACAAAGGGAAAAACATAGATTCTCTTCCCTTTTTAGAAGTGCGTGTGTGTGTGTATATATATTTGTATATGTTTACATACATGAATAATATATATACATCATAAATCAACAAGCAGAACACTGACAAATATTAATAATCTTGAAGGTGAAAATATTTACATATAAAATTATGAAGTCAATGCCAAACAGTGAAATAGAAGAAAAGTTCCACAGTCCAAATATATATATATATATATATATATATATATATATATATATATATATATTCTGATTCTGTGTCTCCCTCTCTCTCTGCCCCTGTCCTGCTTATTCTCTGTCTCTCTCTCTCAAAAATAAAAATAAACATTAAAATTTTTTTTATTTTTTAAATATATATAAATATGTATATAAGTATATATAAATATATATATGTTTCCCTATCAAGAATAACAGCTTTACAAAGACATACACATTAATTTATTTAATCTTCACAATAAGCACATGGTCCTTTACATGGAACACAGTGCAGGCCAGTGAAGAGCCAAGTCTTGTAGTCAAAAGAGTCCCCGGGTATGAATGCCAGCTCTGTATTTACTGACCTTATGATCTTGGGCAAGGTGCTTACTTCTCCAAGCCTTGGTTTCCTCATTTGTAAAATGGGGATAATAATACCTAGCTCATATGTACTGTAATAAATAGATAACAGAATACCTCTGTCACACACACACAGATCATCACTAGTTACAGATAAGCGTCTGAAACTCCTTGTAAACTAGAGTCTCCTTGAGGACTGTGGCTATCCATCCCCTCCCTCATCTAAGGCTATTTCCACTGTCCCTAACTGCTCTTCAAGAGCCTACCACAGGACACCTTCCAGCGCTGACATGGGAAATCCCAAACTGAGTCATGTTACCCTTCTTTGCATCATCTCAGTTTTAGAAGAAAAAGTTCCCAGAGTAAGGTCAGAATCCAATGCAAGACCTTTAAGTATGGTGGAACAATTATCAACTTGCTGTGCTAACAGAGGATAATGTTTGCCGGAAGAATATCAAATGCAAAGGTAACACAAAAGTCTCACTGTAACAAAAACTTAAATTTACTCTCACATTCTCAAGAAAAGTTTAATTACATGATAAAACATTAAATCATTTCTTTCCCTTCCCTAACAAGACAAGCCAAGGCACTGAGAAGAGAAAAAAATACTAAGGATGCTATTAATCCAAAACATGCACAAGCTTAAAGTTAACGGTTCCTATTATAACAGTAATTCCATAATCATCACGCAGCAAATAGCATAACCAAGTAAAGATGTTCTCTATCACAAAATGGTAACACTGTAGTTTTTTGTTTGGTTGAAACATTTCAAAACATCTTGGCTGGAAACAGAGAGAAAAGGAAGTCGATACACTGAGAGCAACATCAGCAAGACACTACACAGACACAGTGATTAAGAACTAGTGTTTGACTATGATGGCCCTTGAAAGCCAAAAACCTATTCCTCAAGACAGCATTCCAAGTTTAGTGGAAGAAAATCACAAAAACAAGCCCAAATACGGCACTAAGTTCATGCTGCAGGAATCCACATAACATGAATTTTTATCCAAAGGTTTAAAAGAAAAATTTAGTTAAGACTGGTCATAGTTTATAAAAATAGAATTTTAAAAGGCTATTAAGGACAATAAGATAAATTTATTTTCCTTAAAATCTAAATTTCTCTGTAGCTTCTATAAGTAACGTAACTTTTGAAACACACGATGCATGTTTGCAACCCTATGACCCACAAGGCTTGCTAAATATCACTTGAAAGTACTACTACTAATTTATTCAATCTGAAAGATATTCTGCTTTACACAAATACTGATCAGAACTCAAAGAGAAAGAGGTGCTACTATTCTTTACAATCACTCATTCGGCTTTGCACCTTTAGAAAAAATAAAGGCTGACAATATATAAAACATGTACCATTCTATAAAAACTAAACTTTTTTTTTTTTTAAGTTATTTAGAGAATCAGAGAGAGTGAAAGCAGGGGAGGGGCAGAGAGAGAGGGAGAGAGAGAATCCCAAGCAGGCAATCAGGCTCTGCACTGTCAGCACATGGAGTCCGACCCAGGGCTCGAACCCATGAAGTGTGAGATCATGACCTGAGCCAAAATCAAGAGTCGAATGCTCAACTCACTGAGCCACCCAGGCACCCCTAAAAACTAAACTTTTAAAAGAAATGCTTACATGAGGTCAAGGAAAATAACAAATTAAAATGTTACTTGTTAGGGAAAGGTTTTGTACTTAGAAAAACAGTCACAATTTATTTTATAATGAGTAAAAGTATTTCAAAATCAAACGGGCCTTTTGAACCTACACAATATATGTGGAACACACTTCTAATTTCAGTCAAATCTGAAAGAGGAAGAAAAATAGATACTACCTGGTTGAAGTATAGCCCAGATGCAAAGCTGAACACTGAAGATACATGCTATCTGAACAGCACAGATTCAGACAAAGTAGTTCAGATTAAAGAGCTGGCCATATATACTTAAAAGTCTACATCTGATCACTTAAGAAAGGCCTCAGAGAAAAAAGGAAAGGGTACTTCAACATGTGATCTGGAAGAAATTTTAGCATCACAGGAAAAGTTTGACTTTCTTCTGGTGCTTAGTTATATAAAGGAAAAAGGTTTGAAGAAAAAAAAGTGTAAAATTGTTTTCATACAATATATGAATAATGAATCCAGACTTTAAAAGAAAAGCTGTGGAGGTTTTATCTTTTACATTATGGAAAAAATAAAATTAAATTCACAAATTATCATTCTCAGTTTCTAAGATAGTAAGAAATTAACTTAGACAAATTACAGCTTTTTTAATTAAAAGAGGTTCTAGAGAAATTTAAGATACAGTCTCTGATTTTAACATACTCCTCAGAGTGCTCTAACATTTAACTTTTAAATAATCACTCCATGGCAAATCATACCACTATGTAAACAAGCAGAACAAGAAATTAGAAGTTACAGAAGAAATTCAAGTCCAGCATTCAATCCATCATGTCTAGTCTGCCAAATCAGGAATCCCTAAAATGAAATATTTGTCTGAATAAATTATAAAGTCACTAGTTGAACATAAATACCTTCTTATCCAATACTTTTGGTTAATAATAAGTCAAATGTATTCTCATAAATTCAAACACTGATTCTCATGCTCCAAGAATATTTTTACCCTGCTTACTATCATGGCATTAAGCATTGTGGGTTTTTTGTTGTTGTTTGTTTTTTGGGTTTTTGTGGGTTTTTTTCGGTTATTCTTGTTGGGTTTTTTGTTTTTGTTTTTGTTTTTGTTTTTGGTCTTCCCTCTGCCTAGAATGGTCTTTCTCTCAAGTACAACTGTTAAAGTCATGCTTATCCTTCAACACTGAAAACAAAGAATACTTCTTGGTCCCTTCCAAGGAAACATGATCCTGTTAGATCATGATCCTGTTAAATTATGATCTCAATATGCAACTAGAACTAGTTGTCAAAACTACAATAATTATACCTAAACCATAAACATGTATTGAGCAATGTGTCAATCACTTTCTGAAAGTTATGAAAAATTTTGTGTTCCAAAGGGTTCATAAACAAGTATTTTCCATTTGCCCCAAAACAAAACAAAAAAATAACAAAATATAGATAGCCAAAGCCCGAGAGGCAGGCAGGGAGGCTACACTAAGGCTATTCTTGGTGAAAACTGAGATGATATTTAAGCAAGACATAAAATGTAGGAATAAAGAGAAGACTCAAGATTAAGATACTATAGGCAGCAAGAATTAGAGATTTGTTCCCAGATTCCTGGTTTCAGTGTTTGTATATCTGGTAATGTCCTGTGTAGGGATGTCACTTATAGGTAATAAAGAACAACAACAACAAAAAAAGACTAAATTTTACGGAACTGATCATGAGTTCAAATTGGGCATAGTGAGTTTGGGAGGTATTATGAAATAAACAAAAAGACTGAAGCCTTTAATGAGGGTCAAGACTTAAGGTGGGAGACCTGTTCTGTGTTTTGAGGCGTGCTTGTGAATGGGGCATCAGTCCAAAGAGTAAATCATGCTGGAGTAAGAGATAAAGCAGTTTCTCTGAACCTCAGTGAACACATTTACAAGGCATGTGGAAAAGCCAGGAAAAGAACCTAGCAAAGGGGAAGCCATATAAATAAATGAGGAGAGGATAATATTAATAAAAACTGCCATTTTCATTGGATACAGGGAATATGCCAGCACCTGAAACAAGTGTTTGGGGAATCTGGCAAATCAGTAGTCATTACTGATTTGCTGAAAGCAATTCCAGCTTCAGACAGTGAAATAAACAATGAATGGGTGGTCAGGAACACACACAAGTTCTTTCCAGAAGGAGAGTTAGAGCAGCAGTTAGAAGCTGACAATGGGTCAAAGAAGGGTTTTGCTAAGGGAAAAGAGTTTATAAAAAAAAAAAAAAAAAGGAGTTAGCAGAGAAAGAGGGAAAGGGAGAGTGAAAGTAGAAAATCATTGAATATTATTTCCATTTGGAGAGGAGGCTTACACTCAGAAAGAAGGGAAGGCAATATGAGTATATGGGAATATAGGTGGATGTTAATATGAAGCAGAAAGCTGGTGGCCCATGAC